CCACTACCGGGCACCGACCGCCAGCCCGGTCCAGAGGACGACCCCAGTGCCGGCCGAGAACAAGTGTAAAGATTGGGTAATACGTGGCTCTGCAAGTCAGCGGTTTCTGCGTGGTTTCTAGATTTGAAGAGGTCAAGTGGGTTTGTCAGCTGACAGCTCGGTGAAAACGCTCCTGGTGACGCCGGTCCAGCGCGTGAGCTGCGCGTACTGCTCAAGACTGTGAGCCCCGCGCCCAGACGCTTAGGGGAGCCGTGTCTCGGCACACACCTGCGAGGGCAGGGCCGGGTGGGCCACTCATGAACATGGAGACCGATAGGAGGGTCCCCTGCATCTCACCGCAGGTCGTGTTTCACACGTGTGCGTGCGTGTGCGTGCGTAATTGCCCAAAGGTGCACTCAGCAGAGAGGGAGGGGAAGCACCCCAGGGCACCGTCACACCCCAATCCCTTCCATTTCTCCCATCTGGCTTTTGCACACACGTACATACATGCACCTAGCGTGTTTTCGAGCCACGGGGGCTAGGACTGAAGCTGCAGTGAGGCCCGCGGGAGCCTGCTCGGTTAACTGAGTGACAGGGCTGGCCCAGGTGGGTTCTTTTGTGTGTGTGTGTGTTTTCCTGGGTTTTGTTTTGTTGCCATAGGGCACATGCACTCGCCAGAGACAGAGAAAGGGAAAGTGAGAATCACCGCCCCGGAGGGATGGCCACGCCACAATCCCTTCTCCTCCGTTCTCCTCTTGAGATTTTGGCCACATATACAAATGCACCTGGCATGATTTTCAAGTTCTCGGATCCAGGATTTGTTTAAATTCCACACTTAAATTTTTTTGTGTGCTCGACAGAGAGACAAGAGACAGAAAGTGAGAATTCACCTCCCAGAGAGGGATGGCCACGCTGCAGTCCCTTCTCCATTCTCCTCTCAGGACTTTGGGCACACACACACACACACACACACACACACGCTCAGCGAGAGTTTAAACCACCAGGTCCAGGACTTGAACCGTGGTCGACTATGTGGGAGTCCAGAGTCGTAACCATTACGCCATCTGCTGGTCCCTTCGGGTCCAGGATTTGAACCACGGTGGGCCATGTGGGATCCAGTGTCTGACACCGTGATACCTGCTGGTCCCCCAAGATGTATTGCCAGGGAAAACGCCCCACCAGAGTGTGGTCACACCACCCTCTTTCCTCCAGTCCCTGCAGGACTTCACACACACACACACACACACGCTGGGGCCAGGATTCGAACCGCGGCTGGCCGTGTGGGATCTGGCTCCCTGCGTACAGAGCTTAACCGCTGCACCAGCGCCGGCCGTTTCACGTCCCTGCTATTTAACAAGACGCGAGACACAGACAGCACCCTGACAGCCGCGTTCTTGCAGTTGAACGGCGGCCAAGCGGCCGGGCTGCGGGTCTGTGGCCACCCCACGGCCTAGACCAGAGCCGACCCCATGGGGGCTTTGGAGATGGGGCTTCCAGGGCCCAGGTAGGCCGAGGCCACAGGGGGCCCGACTGACCGGGTCTGCGTCCTCCTAAGAGCCAGCAGCCAGCCCTGCTCCGGTGCACACCCCGCGGCACCTGCACGGAGTCGGGGAAGCACGGGGCAGAGCCCGAGCAACAGGAAGGCGGCCAGCGGCCAGCAGCCCCGAGGAGGGCCGAGCAGGGAGGGCCTGCGCCCGCCGCAGACCGCCTGGATTGCCCTGCCCACCCCCGGCACACGGGCAGTCACCGACTCAAGCTCCATTTTATAAAAGGTTTATTACTTCAGCAGTGAATTATTAGTAAAAGATGATAAAACTCATTTCTCTTCTGGTAGAAAAAGGGCGGGGCCTTGCCCTGGGGACCAGGCGCCAGGCGGACATGTCTCGCACCAAGGGGTCACGCGGCCACCAGACCAGACACCAGAGGCGCCTGCGGGCCCTCCATCTCTCCCGGCACCCAAAAACTGGGGGCCCTGGGGGCAGCTGGCTCAGGACACAGAGGACATTAGGCCAGGCTGAAGGAAGGAGCCTGGACACCCAGGCCCCATGCCCGACTGGACTGCAGGTCCCGCCGGGTGGGGTCCGAGGGGGCCTCGGGCAGTGCATGGCGCCTGTTGGGCTCACGGTTTTCGGAGCCGAGTGAAGGTGCTCAGCCCGGCCCAGGCAGGCAGGTGGTGCCAATGCTCCCGCCCAGGCTGGGCCTGAGCCCCCACCCACTGGGCTTCGGACCAGCAGCCGCCCAGCCCGGGGTTCCGGGGCAGTGCCCAGGCCCTCCTAGACAGCCAGAGGGAAGCGGGAGAGGCCATCCGAGTCGCCGAGAGCCAGGCGCCTGTGCAGGCCTGGGGGCCACTTGGAGAGAAGGTCCCAGAACAGTGCTTGTCTGCGAGTCTCCCCGAGGGCCCTCGGCGGCAGCTCCATCCCTGAGTGTGTCTACACACGCCTGTGCACGTGCATGTGTGCTGGGGCGTGTGCAGACAGGTGTGTGGCAACTGGGGGCTCAGGCCTGGGGACTGGAGGGCTGTCCACTGACAGAGTCCTGAAGAAGTGGGGTGCAGGAGTCAGAGAGCCGGTCGGGCTGAGTGGCCAGGCTTGGCGGGCTCATGGCGTCCCTGGGGTCCTGCGGAGAAGGGGAAACTGGGTCACCAGGCACCGTCACCAAAACCCACCTCCGTCCCCAGCCCCCGCCCCACTGGCACAAGCTATGCCGCTCCGGGCTGGAGTGATCTGCAATGCTGGGGTGCCCTGACGGGCCTCTTCGGCCATTCACCCCATCTGGGGACACAGGCCAAAGAGGCTTGCCTAATGCGCAAGGCGGGGGCGGCGGGGCGTGAGTGTGAACAGCAGCTGGGGACGCCCGAGGCGCCCACAGACAGGACGCAGACTGGCCCAGACGTCCTTGGGCCGGGCAGTCAGGAGCAGACCTGACAGGCAGGTCCCCAGACAAGGTCATGAAGCTGCTGGCACAGACATGTCCGTGCGGATTTGGGGAGCAAAGACCCCCGCCCCAGCTCCTGGCAGCGGTGACCTTGGAGGCAGAGGGACAAAGACACCGGGCAGCAGGGGAGTGAGCAAGGTGTCCAGTTATGTGGAGCCTGGCAGGAGAGGGTGCAGACGACGTCACTAATCTAGCTTCACGTTAAAAAAATAAAAAAAGTTTTAAGGTTTTTGCCATAGGACATGTGCACCCACCACAGAGACGAGACAATGAGAGGGAAGGTGAGAAACCGCCCCAGGAGAATGGCCACGCCGCAGTCCCCGCCTCCACTCCCCTCCTGGGACTTAGGGCACACACGCACATGGGCCCGGCGTGACTTTCAAGCCGCCAGGTCCCGAACTTGAACTGTGGTCAGCCATGTGGGAGTCCAGCACCTTAACCACTATGCCGCCTGCTGGCCCCCACTTAGAAAGTGGTTTTTGACTAAAAATCGTGAAGTAAAGGTCCCAAGTGGCCCGCTCGATGGCCCAGTGGTTACGGGAGCTGGAGCCCACACGGTAAACAGCAGTGGGCACGTGTGCACGCCTGCCCCAGTCCCGACGGGAGACGTGGCGCCTCGCCCGCAGGGGCCAGTTATGTGGAGCCTGGCAGGAGAGGGTGCAGACGACGTCACTAATCTAGCTTCACGTTAAAAAAATAAAAAAAGTTTTAAGGTTTTTGCCATAGGACATGTGCACCCACCACAGAGACGAGACAATGAGAGGGAAGGTGAGAAACCGCCCCAGGAGAATGGCCACGCCGCAGTCCCCGCCTCCACTCCCCTCCTGGGACTTAGGGCACACACGCACATGGGCCCGGCGTGACTTTCAAGCCGCCAGGTCCCGAACTTGAACTGTGGTCAGCCATGTGGGAGTCCAGCACCTTAACCACTATGCCGCCTGCTGGCCCCCACTTAGAAAGTGGTTTTTGACTAAAAATCGTGAAGTAAAGGTCCCAAGTGGCCCGCTCGATGGCCCAGTGGTTACGGGAGCTGGAGCCCACACGGTAAACAGCAGTGGGCACGTGTGCACGCCTGCCCCAGTCCCGACGGGAGACGTGGCGCCTGGCCTGCAGGGTGACACGCCCGCGGGGAGTGCTTCTTCCCCCTCCCTCGCCGTTTCTGACAGCACACGGGCACTCCGGCAAGTTCAAACAAGGTCGTCTGGGCGGTAGGACGAGGGGCGAGGGGCCAGGGCCGGCACTCCCGCCTTCTGCTGTCATCCACTGACGACCGGGCTGTGGCTGGGGACCCCGCCGGGTTGCCTCTCCACAGACGCCAGACTCCCACTCTGGAGAGACAGGGGCTCCCAGTGCTCTTCCTCAGAAAGGCTCGAGCTCCAGGACCAGCAGGTGGCGTAACGGCTATGTCGCCGGACTGCGGTGTAGTCAACCGTGGTTCAAGTCCCGGACCCGGTGGTTTAAACTCACACCAGGTGTATGTGTGTGCGTGCGTGCCCAAGGTCCCAAAGAGGAGAAGGGACTGCGGTGTGGCCATGTCCCCGGGGGTGATTTCTTGCTGTCTCTCTGCCTCTCCTGTGAGTGCATGTGCCCTATAACAAAAAAATTTAAAAAAAGAAGAGAAGAAAAAAGGCAGGCCTCGGGCTCTCTGTGCTAAGCCACACGCGAGGCAGGGTGACCCATGCGCGGTGAGACCAGCCCTCCCCCAGCACCCAAGGGTGGCTGGACCTCAGCAGAGGGCACCGAGGGGCACAACAGAAAGCGCTCCTGGCCCTTTATAAAGGGGAGACTCCTGTCCTTCCCGTGACGGGCACTGTGGCGATGGTGGTCGCAGAGGTCCAGGGACACCCCCTGTGCGGCTGTGACGAGCAGCACCTCCGCTCACAGCCTCTTTCTTACTCGCGTAAACACTCTCCGGCTAGTGAAGGCCCTGCGGGCCCCCTTCCCTAGCAGGGCAGCCCCTGGACAGCACCCTGACCCCAGGGCAGGACAAGGCGTGGGGCCTCCCCTGGGGACTCAGGCCCGAGACAGAACAGGACAGGGCAAGGTGGGCTGCAGGGTCCCCTTCCATCGCCAGCTCCCTAACAACTTGCACACCGGCCTCTGAGAGAGGAGCCCCAGTTTTGCCTCACTTGGGGAGGGGCAGACACGCAGGCTCCATTGGGGGAGGCAGCCTCCCACCCGCTCTGCCCGCAACGGTGATCGCGGCCCCTGCTCTGTGCTGAGTCCCCCACACCCAGGGGCACCAAGGCAGTGGTTTCTGCAGGGGTCACAGCTGGGAGGAGGCAGGGGCACGGTGGGGCCTGACCATACACAACCAGTGTCCCGGGACCCGGCCGCAGTGTGCGGGCGGGCTGGGGGCCACAAGGGAGGCCCGGGTCCGAATCGTGGTCCGACCTACAGGCCGGGCACGGGTTCCAGCATGCCCCCGAGATCCCAGCTATGGAGAGCGGAAGAGGAGGCAGCTGACGTGCCTTATCTTAAAACTTAAAAAAAAAAAAAAAAATTAAAA